TGAATGGGAGTCTAAGCCTCCATCAAGCTCTCTACAAGTCCCTTTGAAGCTCCTACAGTGGGAGTATTTATAGGCAAAGAGGAGGGAGCAAAGTAGTGTGGAGGAATAGTACAAGGCATTCAAAGTCCAAGTGAAAGTCCTAATGTCCAGAGAGAAAATCGACCACTCTGCAGCCTGTTTGTGGAGAATGTTCAAACGTGATCTAGCGTCCGAATGTTGTTTCTGTTTTGGCTTTGTGGGTGTTTGAACATTGTATGGTGTTCGAACGTTTCTTCTGTCTTTGCTTTATAGGTGTTCGAATGTCAGATGGGGTCTGACATTCTCACTCAAGTGGCTTGTGGTCTTCTATGAAAACCTTTTTCCACACTCCATGCACATATTGGCGCTTTGCACTTATTATCCTGGTCCTCAATCAATTCGAGTGGACGTTAGAACGTGAGTTGACATTCGAACGTGGTACTCAAGTACCTCAGGGTCTTCCTTCTTGGTTGTAACATGTCATGTCTCAACAGTATGGTCTTTAGATGATTTGAAGTAACGTTCAAATGTTGATTGGCGTTTGAACATTCTTGGCTTGGTCTAAGCTCTTCCAATTTTGCTCCAGAATATGTTGATGTTGCATGGGAGTTTGATATTCATTGTCTTTGGTCCCTTGTGCAATTTATGACCTGAAATATCATTATTTAAACTTTATCAAAGTATAATTAGTCTTAAAGGGCATAAAAATATGCTAATTTTGACTAGTAATCAATAATCCCTCCATGGGAAGATCAAGTGTACACCACAAATGCTTTAAGAGAATCTCTTCAAACACAATATTTGTGTGCTAACATTTTTATATAAATTTTAAAGGTAAATATAAAAAGACTCTAAAACAGATTCTTTCTAGTCTAGGCTCCGACAAGTATTCTATCACCTATGCCCCAAGTTGCATGCTAGTCTCTAAAAATATCAATAAGGGATGAGCATCCACAGTTCAGTAGGATAATCTTTTTTTCAAGAATTTACAAAGTTTTAAATATCAACATTCCACAAACCATATGAATAAGTAATGAAAGCTTTAATTTTATGATTTATCTCACAATCAAAGTTAATTTACACTCAGAACACTAAAGTTACTATTTTACCCATTTGAACCACTATATGAGCAAAACGTTTATTTCAAGATTTTTGGACCTCTCGTATTCAATGGTAATTTTATTGTACAACTCAGGTAAATTTAAACTTTTTATGAAAAAGGGTAAAATAGTAATTTGTCACTACGATACGGGTTGAAAATCTAAAATTTTCTAGATCTCGGATGATGAAACGGACCTTACTGTTGTATTTATCTCGCGAAATTTAGTTACCACGTCAAATTTTATTGAAGTCTGAGATAGTCGAATTTTTTACGTTTTACAAGGAGGTTGAGTCTTAAGTGACCAAAAAATGGGATTTTTAATAAAAAATTCAAAAGTTGAAAAATAAAATTAGGCAAATTAAAATAAAATTATTTTAAACTTGAACCGGAACGAAATTTAATCGTTTCAGGACAAAAACGGACCCGAAAAAAAAGAGAGTTGTGTGGCACAATATGAGCCAAGTAAATGGAGAATATAAAAATGGAAAAAATATGATTTATTCCCCATTTCTTCAGCTAGTTCAAGGTGAGAAGAGAAGAGAGGGAAAAGAGAAAAATTCTCCCCTTCTCTCTACGATCTACGAAGATTTAGTGATTGAATCCACTCGGGCCAAGACCAAAAGTCGATCTTCTCATCGAGGGCTATGTCTATGTACCAAAAACGAGAGTTTTTACCGAAGGTTGAAAAATGAGTTTTTAGAAAGGACTGGATTAGAGCTCGGGTTAGAGTTATAGAGCTTCCCAATGTGTTCTTTTACGCTTCAAGAGGTAGGGTTCCCCCTTACTTTGGTTGATTTCTAACTTAGGTGTCCGTATGAAATGATTAAAGGTATAGAATAATATATGACTTGCCTATAGTCATGAAAATAAGAAAATGGATATAGAAATGACCTAGACCAATTTCTAGCATGACTTTGACATGTGGAAGTATTTATGTAAACTCTTGAAAATTGGGTTTATGTGGGCATGCTACGTGTTTATATTGTGCCTTGTGATTTAAGTGTGTTATTGACATGGATATTGTGGTAACATGCTTATGAATTGTGATGGATTTTGGTAATTATATGCTTAGGATATAAATTGTCATGACATATGTTAAAATATGTGATTTCGGTTGTCCATATGACATTCATTACGTATGTGACATACATTGTTAGGCAAAGGTTTATTACATTGCATTTGCACGAAGATCTTGCATCATGTCGATGTGTGTGCATGATTGATGTCGTCACCCCATTGGTGGATGACGAGTGGACTTGGAAAAAGTTGGATCAATGATCCGATTAAGTCGCACAGTTATATGAAAAATTGGGTCGGGGTTAGCAAGAAAGACTAAAATATACCTAAGGTGAGAAACCAGGTGATTGGATTCGTACTTCGTTGGTATAAGAGTCCATAAAGTGTGTCGGTGTACGCGAAATCGTGGGTTGAAGTTCTTGAATTCCTTGTCGGTTGGGTGTTGTTGGTGTAAGTCCATGAATACCCACCCCAAGAAAGACCCTAGAATTGTGAATGTCATTTGATGTGAACATAAATGACAGTGTAATACACTTTGGCATTGCATTGTGTTGAGGAGCCAGGTATAACTTGGGTTGTGGTGCATGAGTAAGTCTCATCTCATTTCATCACATGGTATGAATTCATTCAGCATGTGTTGAGGAGTCGGGAAGGACTTATGTTGATATGCACGAGTGAGTCTCACCTCATTTCATGGCATGACATAATAACATTCCATCATTGAAATGCATATTCTTGGTTGGAATGGAAAATGATGGTTAAGTGTTGCACATAAACATTGCATATGCATCTAGGGAGGGAGTAACCTTTTGTAGGAAATATTCTACTAGGCGTTGGCTCACCCTATACGAAAAAAATTTTAAGTGCGGAATACACGTAGGTGGACGGCTCTCATTCGGGGCCTCAAGGGTGAAGAGGGGCCGACATGTGGCCTTTAACCTTGACTGTTTTGTAAACTCTTGTTAAAACTATGTTTTGACATGTAAATTAAATGTAATGAACTCGTACAAATGAGGTTTTATGTCAAAAACTCCATTTTATGTGTTTTGGGTGAAAATGAGATGGATTGGAAATCGAAAACAGGTGAAACAGGGAAGAACTGGCAAAGCGTACCGGTACGATGAGGTCCAATAGACAAACCGTATCGGTGCGTGTACCGGTACACTTTCCAAAAATCAGAAATTTTAAAATTATTTTGCTATGCAAATGGACTTTGGTTTCCTTGTTTCCAATGATATAAATGGACATTAAATGATATATATTGGGGTATATTGAACCTCGGTTGGAATAAATGATTAAATGAACACGGGTTACACATGTGAGTTATAATCTCAAGTAAAGGGATACTATTAACGTGATGTCGGGTTGTACAGCAAATCACGGGCAATTCCACGGGTGGTCAACGGTGTAAAAATGACCCCCGATTTTAGGGGTGTCACCGTTATTTTGATATAAAAAAACCTTAATAAATTTACTTAATTACACTTATCAACCTTAAACAACTCAAAATTAAATTTGACTCAAAAGTCAATACGCCTGTAACTCAAACTTATGCAACTATTCCTTTAACAACGATTCAAAATTTCTCTCATCATTTTAATCATTTAAAAAAAATACAATCAAGTTAATATTATTTATATTTATATAAAATATGGGATCTCACAACTACCTAGGCAAATTTGATGTAAAATCGGATGAAGCCATCTTCTTAGGCTACTACACTTATAGTAAGGCTATAAAGTGTTTAACAAACGAACCCTTATAATAGAAGAGTCCATGCATAACGTATTTTATGAATCAGATCCACTTATAGTTAGAAACCTAGAAAATGATGATGAAATAGATCGCACTTTCAAATTTGAACAACTTAATGTAGATGAACCTCAAATTGACAAACAAGTAGAGACACCTTCTCAAGAACTCCCAAAAGAGTTTAAGAAATTTCATAATCATCATATAAAAGAAGTTATTGGAGACCCATCTCAAGAAGTCAAAAACTATGGCTACTCTAAGGAACAAAGAGAACAAGTTATTTTTCTTGTATCACATTGAACCAAAGAACATAAGTGAAGTATTAGATGATGAGTCTTAGATAATGGTCATACCAGAAGAATTGAACCAATTTGAAACAAGCAAAGTATGAGAATTAGTTTATAGACCTAACTACACAATCATCATAGGAGCTAAGTGGGCTTTTAGAAACAAATTACATGAAGATTGTAATATAACTAGAAATAAAGTTAGATTTGTAACCCAATGGTACAATCCAACCTTTGTTCCCAACAAACGATGCTTCCTTATATAATAAGGTTGAAATCCAAAACCCCTATCGATGTCCATTTAAGAGCATCTCCAACCCACCTCTCTAAAATTACTAACCAAAATATATTTAAATATTACATTCTTTATTTTAGCTGCCCATTTTTATAAATTCATTTCAACCACAATCTCTATTTTAACTAACTACTTCATCTAATTTTCACTAACTTCTAATAATTTAAAAGGAATACAACATATATATGTAAAGAGATAGAGAGAAAAAGAGGTAAAGAGAGAATTTAGAGAGGTTAAATGTCTATCCACATTTAGAGAGTCATTTGGGTGAAACAGAAAATAGAGAGTGGGTTTGTGAGATTTTTTGTGTTTGATTTACTAAAATAGCTAAAAAATAAGAAATAGAGAGTCAATTGGAGATGTTGTAAGGCCTCGTGGTTGGATAAGAGTCGAAAGAAATAAAGAACCGTTGATCATGGTGGGGCACTAGAGGGCATCAAAGTCTTTTCACCTGTACCAGAATGGAGGTTGTGGAATTATTAATATAACTGAAATGTGACTGGGTGGGGGTCATTGTCTTATCCCCATCGTAAGAATGAGAGAAATCCATAGAAAATTAGAAAGAGAAGAGCAGAGCATCACAGCCCTTCAAATATCAGTCCCAACAAAACCCAGCAAAACTCCCGAGGAGAATCGCCATGACAAGCTTGGTGAGGGTGCAGCATAAACAGCCTTCTTGCTCTCTCCTTCCTTCTTCTCTCTCCGACTTCAATGGCGTCAGATTGACCACCTCCATTCAGGTACTCCCTATCTCTTTGCAAACACGCACACCCACATATACAAAAAAACAGAGAGAGAGAGAGAGAGAGAGATTGACCTTCGAGATGTAAGTCTTCAATGGCAAATTGGGGTAATCACTTTGTTCAGAACAAATTGTGAGTCAGTCCGTGAGTTAATAAGTACTTTCAGCTGTTGGGAACTCGGGGATTTCAACTGAGCAACTTAAATCTGTCACTAATGTCCACTGGGTTTGATACATTCACTCTGGACCTATTGTTAGTGCTTTGAAAGTACGTTTCTAGCTTAGAAGAGAAAATTTTACTTCGATTTTTCTCAGAGCAACAGAAGATGAATTTGCAAAACACTAATCAATTGGGACCTTAACATCTGCTGAGGAACAAAAAGCATGAGCACTTACTTGCACATCTCTCTCTCTCTCTCTCTCTCTCTCTCTCTCTCTCGTGCTTGGAAATGATTGTTGTAATTCACAATTCAAAACATCTAAATATTGTTGTAGTACAAAAGGAAAGTATGGCAGACGAAAGGAGCATTGCATGTTTCAGCTTCAAGTGCCAAGAAAATTCTTATAATGGGAGGCACTCGATTCATTGGTATCTTTTTGTCAAGACTTCTCGTCAAAGAGGGCCATCAGGTTTCACCCTTCTCTTGTAGATATCTGTTTTACATTACTTTGGCTTATTTTTCACCATAATGTTTTTGTTTATGGATATAAATGTTCCTCCTTTGCGTTTCCTTTATGTCATGCCAGTTAAGTAGGGGGAGTTTATGGTTTTAAGGATGCCATTTAAGATTTTTATAAGCTAGTGAGAAAATAATGGTGCAGGTCACACTATTCACCAGAGGGAAAGCGCCAATCACTCAGCAATTGCCTGGAGAATCAGAAACGGACTATGCTGATTTTTCCTCCAAGGTAAATTATGTGTGGCTAAAACCTGAAAATTCTACTAGCCATGACCTCAAGGTTCGAATAAGATTGTGTCTTCTACGTGTAGATCTTACACTTGAAAGGAGACAGGAAGGATTTTGAATTTGTAAAATCCAGTCTCTCTGCTCAAGGATTTGACGTTGTTTATGATATAAATGGTACATGTACTTGAATCCATTTACTCCTTATGCAACTGGCATCATTGTGCTTTTTTTCTCTCCCACTATGCTGCCACTATAGAGTTTGAATTTGGAAGTTGCATAACATTATCTCTTCTACATCTAAGTATTCTGTTATAAATGTTGTTTATATATTTCCAGGACGGGAGGCAGATGAAGTGGAGCCTATATTAGAAGCCTTGCCAAAGCTAGAACAGTAAGCTGTGAACAAGATAATGCCTATGTTACTTTGGTCCATTCAAGAAATATACACAGTCGCTTAAGATTGAGATGTAGATGATGCATTGACCTTTTCAGTTTAAGTGTTCTAATATTATGCTTTCTTTGAATATCTTAGGAAGGTCAGGACTGTTTCAGATTATTTACATAGCCCAAAGAAAGGACAAAAAAGTATTGTGCTATTATTTCTTAATCAAAATGCATAATTTGACGTAGTAAGCAGTAAAAAAATTTCAAACTGTAAAATTTGGAAGTCTTATTGAAATTCTAGCAATGTTCTCGAGTTCTTTGTCCATTTTATAATACCTGGCACATAGATATGCATGATAAATTGAACAAGGATAACTTTTGTATATAAGAAATGAGATAAAGAATTATTGCTTACACAATGGCTGGGAAATCTGTGAGAGGACTAGAGGGTTTTGCCAAAGAAATATATTGTTTTTTTAAATTGAATATGCTTCTATTGGCTAGATATTCAATTTTTTTTATAAAACAAAATATCAAGGGGAATTACTGGTGGAGTGTAGATGATGGTTTTTTTTTTGGCAAAGATTAAGTGATATCTTATAAAAGGTCAAGCGATACTTTACAAAGCAAGGAATCCCCCAATGCTATGCAGGAAGAAAAACCTCTAGCAGCTAAACAACCACCACAGCAGAAAAGAACTAAGAAGAACAATAACAACATATAATGATTAATTCTACCAAGTAGCAAACTAGATATCAAGTGGATAGAACTCATAAAGGAACACAACAAATGATAATCTGAGATACTGGATTCTCTCGAGCATGATTCTTGGCTGATTCCATTCTCTCACCAGGTGTAGATTCTTCTGAGAGTTCTTAAAGGACTAACAGTCAAACATGGATGTTTTCTTCTTACAGTTTTCGTTTCTTTGGCAAGTAAATCGTGGTCCAAACAAGCCGAAAGAAAGTATTATTATTTGTCAATAAGAATCTGATATGTCAAGCCACTAAAGCTGTACTCCTGTTTACCAGGTTCTTCAGTCCCAAGCCACCTTCCTTTTTATGTTTACAAAAACACATCCAAGAGATTTTGAGTCTGGCATTTTTTAGCTCAGTGCCAGGCTGGAGCCAATCCTTTCATTGCGAAAAAATTGATTACTGAACTGCACTCTAGTTGGTGTAATAAGTAATTTGATGGTTTTCCCTAAATTTGTTTTTGTTCTACTGGATGTCAGGTACATATACTGCTCTTCAGCTGGTGTTTACCTTAAATCTGATCTTCTACCACATTTCGAGGTGAGTCTTGTCACCAGTCATTCATCTAAGCTTGTTGTTCACTACACTGCTCAGCCAAACAAAAAAAAAAAGAGCTTATAATTCACGTGTTTTGGATTTACTGCAGTGTGGTGGTGCTGGTGAAATGTAAATATGAGCTTAGAATTCATAATCAACTATTGTTTCCCAACCAACTCCAAAAACAGAACCACTCCAATTTTTACAGTCATTGGTGCTAATATGGATTTTTTTTTATTTTTGTCTTTCTTCTCTCATTGAGTTCATTCTCAAATGTTGACTAGAGCTTCATCTCTCTTAAGAATAACAATCAGAATCCTGTTTTAAAGACTGTAAATGGGTGTATCAAAGACAAGCCTTTGCTTTCCACAAATTTTGGGAGCTTAAACCTACCTGCAAATTCAGTTCTGGTTTTATCAGTACTTATACATGCAGGGAAAATTAGACTTAGCTTGTCATCATTGCCAACAGATGCTGCATTGCTGAGGACTTGTTCTGTCTCTTTTCTGTGACTTTTTTTTTTTCCACTTCTCGATTATTTGCTTTTTACATATCTATTCTAACTTCTTGGTGCCTGGTTATAGGTTGATGCAGTTGATCCAAAGAGCAGGCACAAGGGAAAGCTTGAGACAGAGAGCTTGTTGGAATCAAGAGACGTGAACTGGACTTCTCTGAGGCCAGTCTATATATATGGGCCATTGAACTACAATCCTGTTGAAGAGTGGTTTTTCCACCGGTTGAAAGCAGGTCGTCCAATTCCAATTCCGAACTCAGGAATGCAAATAACCCAACTTGGTCATGTAAAGGTACATGAAACTATAATTTGAAAATGCTCTTTTTCTGGTAGGAAATTCTATGACAAACAATTATCTACTATTTGTAAAACACTTCTATCATTTTTGCATGTTGACCTATAATTTCTTGCGGCTTTACATTTTACATTCATGGCGTAACTTTTTCAAACACTGAAACTATGCGCCTGTTGGGAAAAATTAAATTTAATTTAGACTTTTAAACATATGCTGGCTGCCTCTTCATTTTGCACTAAAGAAAATATGGAATTTCATCAGAAATTATCTGAAAGGCTGTTGTATATACACTTCCAATTCGCTTCCAAACAGGCTACTGCACTTTCTCTTGGAGCACAAATGATATGGAACTCAAAATTATAAATGATAATCTGTATCCATAAAAAATTTTCCTTTATAAAACAAAAATCTAATCTTTACTGTCATGCATTTGGAAATTTGCAGGATTTGGCCAGTGCATTTGTTAAGGTTCTTTGCAATGAAAAAGCGAGTAAGCAAGTATTCAACATATCCGGAGAAAAATATGTCACTTTTGATGGATTAGCAAGGGCATGTGCAAAGGTAGTCAGTAGTCCGCCCCCGTACAGAGGTACACAATGAGTTCCTTTAGCTGACTGAACAGTAAAAGCTATTGTCAATATATTTTTCAGGCTGCTGGATTTCCTGAGCCCGAGATCATTCACTACAACCCAAAGGAGTTTGATTTTGGTAAAAAGAAAGCATTTCCATTCCGTGACCAGGTAATAACAAAAATTATGAAGGTTTTTTTATTACATGATATAAGAATTGCTGGCTAAAACTACTTTTTCTTCTTGAAACCCAAGGCCAAAATGAAAGGAAAAGGATTTCCCATTCTTTTATGCTAGAAAAAAATTTTAGGTGAGAGAAAAATACCTGATAGAGGTTCTTGGCCTTCACCTTGCAATATTCATAAAGGAAATGTTATGGTCACATTTTTCTACAGCCAACTACAATTTATGTTGGAAAATACAGACAATATGTCTATGGCATTATCATGGTGATAGCGACAAGCTTTGCCTATAAATTTGTTTTCCATGCTGGGAAAAAACTTGGACAATGGCCTTCACCAAGATTTTAAGGAAAAAAGTTCGATTGCAAGATTGAACACTGGCATAATCTCATAGGAAATATTATCGTAAAACACATAAGTGTGCAAGTTGAAGTTTTATTTGAATATTTATTTTGGGTAGAAATGATTTCAGTTGCAACAGATCGTAATACTTTCACTTCCTATCAGACACTGATTATTATCATTGTTTGATTAATGGAAACGCAGCATTTTTTCGCTTCAGTAGACAAAGCAAAGAGCGTGCTTGGGTTGAAACCAGAATTTGATCTGGTGGAAGGTCTTGCAGACTCCTACAACCTGGACTTTGGTAGAGGAACGTATAGGAAAGAGGCTGATTTCTCGACAGATGACATAGTTCTTAGCAAGAGTCTGGTTCTCCAGAGCTAGGCCATGTATTTCCTGTCATTTGCTTTTCTCATATATTTTTTTTTTGTACTTTGGCTTCACTTTTTAATCATATATTTATTACGTATCATTTCAACGCAAAATTTTGCTATTTCTTTTCAAACATCCATTTGAGAGTGGTATTAGAAGAGACAAAAAGTGGCATTACTACGGAATTCATTACCTTGTTAGAATTGTAAGAATGTGACAATAGTTCGCAAGAAGGCAATGAATTGTAGCAAAAGCAGGGCTACTAATTTTTAGAATGACTTGGCAATTCAACATTAGTTATTGGGTATGGGTTCAATTTCAATGGATTCGGATCATAAACGGACTACAAATTTAGCTTCAACAGATTGAGTCATACACAAACTGATTCGTCAAGGAGTTCAATAAATGAGTCAATAGAAATCTAGATATACTCAAAACGAATTCGACTATAAACTGCTTATATACAATACACATATGACAGCATATAAATATGAATTAGTTGTGAATGAGTTTGAGCCAATTTTGATATGCCACAATTTAGGCACAACACGAATCAGATATCATTGCTGGTAAAATGACAAAATAAGATGGCAATAAGGTAAACATGGGAGTGGATGACACAAAGGAGGAGAGCATTAGAAAAGAGCTTTGAAGACCACTTTCGGATGTCATATGATCGAGTCCGGAAAGAGGGGTCTGCATTAGAGGAAAAATTGTAAGGACTATTAGTCTCTCACGTCCAAATGCGTGTGAATCTAAGATTCGTGTCTGAACGTCACTTTACCCACATGTGGATGCATGTCCTCATTCCCAGTCAATCAGAGAGCTCGATGACAAACGACTGGAGTCATATTCCTCGATTTGGGAAAGTACTCTCTCTATTTTTTACTCTTTTTTGGGAAAGTTTTCTGGATGTTGAAGCTTTTTATTATTTTCTTCTTTAATCATTTTTTAATTGGTGTTTTAGCCTCAATTAATGGCTGGCTAAACTCCTTCACTTATGCTAGAAGAAAATTCAGTATATATTTGGGTATATAATTAATTGTATGAGCTTTAATTGATGTTTTTATTTAATTGTTCAATTCATCTTATTTAGTGTAGCTTTCTCTCTCCATATAATCTCTTGATTTATTATGCTAATTGTGATGGAAACTTGAGATTCTTTGTGAGTAGAATAGCCAGATGTACTTGCATGTGTTGAATTGTTAATGAATTCATCTAATTAGTTGATTGATATAAATTGAGATATTTGATTGGTCTTACTTGATTTATCATTTAATCTGGGCATGCTAAATGCTTGTAATTAACAATTATATGTTTGGATTCATTTAAATTACCTTATTGATTATATCTTAGAGAATTTTCTCATTAATCATTGATAAATCCTCCAATTTAGTTCTCTCCCTAATTGTTTCTCAATTGAGATTGAAAATTAGAATTAATTTACTACCCAATTGTCATTCAAGAAGTATCCAATACCTTAGTATTTGTCCCAAATCATTTTCTCAAGCTATTTAAATTTAGTTTTTTTAAGATTCAACTACCAAATCAATCTCTCTCCAGCACACGACATATTTCCTATAATTAAATATTTTTCACTCTAAAATCCCCATCTCCTTGTGGTTTGACCTTGGACTTTACCATGAAATTACTACTTATTTGACACCCACACTTAGGTTTACAACTTACAAAGTGAAGAAAGTTTTTGGCATCGTTGCCAAGGAGAAGGCGCGATTAAGGAGTGATTCATCATCATTTGAAGTTTGCTCAGTTTTTGAATTAGAGATTGGGTAAAATTTTTCGTTTTGAATTTTTGTGTTGGTTATTGCTGCATGAACTCTTAGCATAGATAGATTGATGGAAGGTTGATTAGGGAGGACTTTAACTCATTATTTGGAGATTTATTTGACACATCCCCACAAGCACATACACATCCAAGGATGGCACAAAATCACCCAATAGGTCAAAACCCTTTACTACCACCACATCCCCATTTAGCTCAAAACCCTAGGTTATTTCAAAACCCACAATGGGTTCATAATTCTTTTATACTAGAATTGTTGGGAGTGAAAATGATGTACAAACTAAGTGTAGAGCCTGTATATATATCCAAATATGAGTGCAATTGACCAGAACATTTCTCTGGTCTGGGTAAGACATAAAAACCATAATAATGACAAAATAGATAACAAAAAAGAAAAAGCTAAACATCCTGATAACTAGGCTCTAATTCCAACACTCTCCCTCAAGTTCGGAGTAAAGATATCAATTAATCCAAGCTTGACATTGGAGTCTCAGAGAATGGATATTGAAGACATCCACAACCTGATCACTAGTCCCCAAAAACGATGGGCTAACAATGACGTAGTTGACCTTCTCCCAAAGAAAGTGAATATCAATCTCTATATACTTCGTCCCCTCATGTAGTACTGAGTTAAAAGGAAGCTGAATAGAAAATCGATTATCATAATAATGTAGATGGAGAAGTTACTGGAAATCCTAACTTACCAAGAATAGACCATATCCAGATAATCTCACATGTGTCAAGCGCCATTGCCTGATACTCTGCCTCTACTTCTGTCGATGAATGAGAGACAATTACCTACTTCTTGCTCTTCTAAGAGATAAGACGAGTCTCTCGAAAAGTATAGAAACCCGTAGTAGATCGACCGTCACAAGCTCCCCCATAATCTAAATCTGAATAATGGGCTAGAGAATCGGTATGTGACCTCGATGCATATAACAACCCCAAGTTTAAGACAAGACTTGAGGTATCAAAGAATATGATATACCATATCCATATAAGACTGACATGGCTTGTGCATGAACTGGCTAACCCAGCTGACGACAAATGAAGTGTTTGACCTAGTGTTAGCTAGGTAGATAAGCCTACCTACCGACCTCTGATAAATAGTCAGATATTTCAAATCCTTACCTTAAGCAATATGCTTCCAGTTTGGAATCATAGGTGATGATGCAGGTACCATATACAAGAAATCATAGGGTGTATATCCAGTGACAACCAATAGGCTTCACACTTGAAGGTAAAGAAACAAGAACCCATGTATCGTTATGCTGAAAAGTGTCCATCTTTGTTTGCATATAGCAAGAACCTACTAAGGCACTCGCATAGCCTCTAAAATGGAGCGAGAAACCAGTGTATCTGATAATGCTATATTATAATCCCAAAATATAAGAGATAGCTCAACATAAGAAACATAACCAGAGATTAGATATAAAGCCTTGATGACCTAACCATAACAAACAATTGGATGACGGTCACGACATAAATAACAATGCCCTAAATCATCATCCTCCATTGACATAGTCTCATTAGATAAATCAACTGGCTCCGAAACCTCAACACCTGCAGTCTCATCAATGCTAACAATAAGTTCAACAGTATGCTCAACTACCAACCTCTTCACAATAGAAATTTGGAGGATGTCGTGCATCAATTCATTCAAAACCAAACCACAATCAACAATCAAACAACCGTCGCTTTTAATCACATCCGGACTCAAATCACTAAGTTGACCAGTGCTATAGGGTCGTCCCAACAAGAGAAAGGAAAATATTTTGCTCAACCCCAAGAAAACTCAAGGGGTTAACACGTGATTGAATCGTTTGGTGCTACCAAAGAGAGTTATGAGCAACTCAAGGAGGTCACCACCCTTAGGAGTGGCAAATAAATAGATAAAACCATTTTGCATGAAGTCTCACCCAAAGCCACATTGGAAAATGAAAAAGAGACTAAGGGTAGCTCTGAGGGGGGTGAAACACATGAAAAGCAAAAGATTGTTGATTTGAATGTGCATGATTATTCTATCCCAACCCCTTTTCCCCAATGTTTGAAGTCACCGGCTAAAGTTGTTAAGTATTCAGATATTATTGAAATGTTTAAGCAGGTAAAGATAAACATTCCTCTCTTTGATGTCATCAAGCAAATAACTTCATGTGCAAAGATATTGAAAGACTTGTACATTGTGAAGAGAAAATTGAATGTGCACAAGAAGGCATTCTTCACCGAACAAGTGAGTTCTATTTTGAGGACTAACACACCGCCCAAGTTCAAAGATCCCGGTTGCTCGACCATTGCCATAACCATCAGGAATTTTCGAGTGGAGCAAGCATTACTAGACTCAGGACTAAATGTCAACCTCCTACCCTTTTCGGCGTATCAACAATTACAACTTGAGGAGTTGAAGCCAACCCCAATCACTTTTCAAGTGGTGGACCGAAGTTTGAGAACACTGCTTGATTGTGTTCACACTAATCTCCAAGCATGAACCCTCAATGTGTATATGGCTTATGAGTGTAGGTGAACGTCACTTTCCCTCGGGTTTGATGCTAGAAATGGGAAAAACGTGTGTGTGGATGAAAATGTGTGTACAAAAGTGCCCCCCGAGCGTAGAGAGACTTTCGAGTGTCGTGTTTTAATTGGAATTAAGTATTTCAAGGTCATCTTTTCAAGGAAGGAAAGTTGAATCGTGGTGAAGTTGATTTTTCAAAAATGCAAAATGTGTAAAATCTTGTGGATTTGTGTTTTGGTGAGTAAAGTTTTTGATTGAAATGTAATAAAAACAAGGTTGGTTAATCTAAAGGGATCATTCCAATCGGAATGTCAAATCAACTCAAAACATTCCTCCAATGTTTTCTCGGTGCTTGATTGATTTGTAGGAAATGAGGGACTAATGTGAAGGTGTAGGCTCAAGCGTACCCCGTGACAATTCTACAGTGTATCAAGAGTTCACAATCACATCCACACTCAACTTAGTCAAATCAAACAACTTACACTACGAGGAGGAATGAGAAAGAGTTGATTTAGCATACCCAAGAGGAAATCTCTCTTGGATTAACCAACTAAAAACTTAGGTATTCATAATAAATGCAAAGACATACAATGTGTAAAGAGACATGGTAATGAAATGGAGATTAAAAATTATATTAATGTAAAGAAAAGTTAACTACAAAGATAAGTGCATTTAATACCCATTTGGAAAGCTTGAGAAGAAAAACATGAATGTAACAATGGTAGATTCAAAGTTACATAACTAAACTTGGAATACACTTGAAATAAATGACATTAAAGTGCAATAAATAAAGATTACAAGAGTTTTCCAACTTATTGCAAGTGAAATGGGTAAGAATACAAATGAAATGGGTAAGAAAATGCAAAAATCTAAACTTTCTCTCTCTAAACTATGTCTTATTCCTTGAGCTTCTCTCTGTAAAATGCTAAAATGTGGTGTAAAGATCCTTGTATTTTTGTCCATGAGGCTCCTAT